ATTAATCAGGCAAATGCAAATTAAGATCAAGTGAGATTCCGTTACATACCAAGCAGACTGACAAAAAGTAAAAAGTCTGACCTTAGCAGACTTTAATGAATTGGCAAACATTTAGAGCTCCAGGAACTCTTGTGCAGTAATGTGGGTTTGTAAATTGATACGACTACTCGGGAAAAATGGGTCAGCATGTCGTTAAGTTGAAGACATGCAAACCCTGTAAGCCCACAGTTCTATTTCTGGATATGTGCTCAAGAGAAACTCATGCATACGTGTAACACAATACATGTCAAGAATGTCCTTTGCATGCATTGAATGTTTTTTGCAGAACATTCTTGACATGTACTCTGTTACACGTATGCATGCATGTATTCTGGTATACATACATGTGTTTTGTTATACATAAGGTGGTGGTGTTCATCAGCAGTACAATGTAGAAATACCTCTCGGTTTATTCATGCAGTGGGATATTATAAAGCCGTGAAAATGAAGACAGTGGAAGGAGCTCATGAGCATAGTAGTAAGTGAAAGATTCAAACCACCATATAATTTCATTTATGTAAATTTCAAAAGCAGTCCAAACTAAAGTATGTTTTTTCTGGATGTGTCTATGTGCTGAGGAAATTGTCACAAAAGCCAACTACAGAGAGGGAGGGCACTGTCCTCAGTGAGGACACATGGAGGGCTCTGCAGGGGGCTGGCAGTGCTCCGCTTCTCCACATTGGTGATGGTCATGTGAGTGTTCACTTTACATTAAATAATTATAATCACATTATATAATATATTATCTATCACAAAGTAATCATAAAGTGGACACTTTAATAACTATGCATTTATGTTATATGGACTTGTATGTTTTATGTATTTTTCTGTAATCAAATCTGGAACCTACAAAGGCATAATATGTTGATTGCTACTTCTGCTCATAACGTGCACAATATCCGTGGTGAGCGACTAGCTCCATGCTTGTGCACGCACACATACGCTTCCTGCTGATTCAAATGTACACATTTTGTGACTCTCATTTGCACGCCTGATGTTTTGTAGTGGGAACTTTGGCTGACTTTTACTATAAAACATTAAGAATTAGATTGAAAATGGTGACATAACAATTCGAATATATTGAAAGTTTCCTTATACTTTCATTATTTGGCCAAACTTGGGAGTTTGGAGCATAAACAGACAGGGAGTCCCAGAAAACATTCTAGAAGACATATAATAATTAAAAATATTTCCCCTTTGGCCAGTCATAAACAGAATTTCCCTTTTATACAAGCAAAATCCACACTACGATAACTTTTTACCTTTTAGGAAGAAATCACCACCTCTTTTCAAAATAGTTTATTTATGATTATAGAAGTAATGCCTGCTCATTGCTGAAAATAAAAACCTTTCTTTTTGTTTTTAGATACCGAGTGAATATTTGGCACCTCTGTTAGATAACAATATTCTTTTATCTCTCTTGAGATGCATCACATGAAAAAGTACAGAGAACGTCATGAGAACAGTAGTGACAATGGGTATCTCCTTGTAGAAGAGAGCCACATAATAGCTTTCATAGTCCGCTACATTCCGCTTTTTTTTTCTTCACTTAAATTACATATTATTTACAAATTGGAATAATAGTGGTTAAGATCATGGACTTTGGAGTTAGATGGTTCCAGATGCGCCACTGGCCTTGTCCGGGCACCTAACCTCTTTCTGAGTGTTAGTCCCACTTTCTGGGAACGGGGTTTGATAATCACACTCCAGGTACTTGCAGAACTGGGATAACGTAAGTAAAGCCCAGGTGAGGGCTCTGGGACCATTAGCTGTTTCGATGACTTCTCTCCCTCCCTCCCTTCCTTCCTTTTGATGAAACAAGGGCCGTCCGTTCATTTATTCAATGTTTTAAATTTAAAATGGGCCATCAGTTGAAATTGACAGAATTAACTTTTCAGTCAGCTAGAGTAAGATCACTCCATATTAATAAGGCTTGTCTCAAACACCTGCGGGAAAGGCCAGGTGCGCCGGGAAGGCTCACGTGGGCAATAATAAGAAGTGCCACCCGTCACTGAAAGGGATGCAGGCTCGTCGGCTGTGGGAGGACTCCAGGGCACTGCAGCATCCTTCCCCTCGGAGACCCTATTTTCCAGCAGAAGGCAGGAGGCCACCCTGAAACAGCACGTGGGGTGGCTCTTCCGCTGAGGCCACCATCCTGGACCGCTGCCAGATGCAGGTGGCCTTTTGCTGCAGCGGACTGTGGGTTGGGATCATTTTTCTCTTAGCAACAGTCTGTAAAAGGGAAGAACGTGGAGTTCATGCTGGCGGGAGCCACTCTATATTTGCAGCCAGCGTGGGTAGCCCTGCTAATGAGTCTGCTCCTTTGAAGTTCCCTGAGGTAGGCATGGTAATTTCAGATCCTTAGGAATGTGTCCCTACTTGCCCTGGTGTTCACTATCAGCTGGTCACTCCTGGGACCCCACAAAGTGATCACCTAGCACCAGCTCATAGCATGAACTTCCCTTTACAATCAGGATGGATAAACTCATCCCCTGTGCTCCAGTATGGATTAAGCATTTCTCTGTTTTTTAGTGGTTTCTCCACCTCTGCTGAGAGGGAGAGAAATCTTAGAGCAATCTCAGGGTGGTTTGTCCCTTTAAAATCTTCTTTGGAGAAGGTGGATGGAGAAATCTCAAACAGTTGGTAGATGCCAAGAGGTCAGTCCTCATGAAGAATGCCCCAAAGCCCAGTCCTCATTAATCAGTTTATGGAGTATTATGGGAGAATTTTAAGCACAAGACGTTGTTTCTGAGCCAGCAATTCTCCGTTCATCCCCCACAGCAAGCCCACTGCTTGCTTTCCTGGGACGTGCAAACAGCCAGATAGTGTCCGTAATTTATCCTCTTAGTTTTTCCAAAGCCAAGCGGAGGGCACAGTGAACTTTGCAGTATCTGCTGAGACTGTGTGAAAGAGAGTTCCGGGTCGTCGAAGATGAACTCAGCCAGGGTTCCACAGATTTCTGCAGCTCCCACGAGTCTGATCTTTCCACGCATCTCTGGGCCCAGGTGTGACTTGTCAAGACACCTGTGTGGCCTCACGCTCAGGTGAGCAGCTTCGTTTCCCACCAGGCCCCTTGTGGGACCCAGCCCTGTCTCTCGGCAGTCCTCAGAACCTACCAAGCCTGTTCTTATTTCTGTGCACCTCATACGCCACATCCAGGAGCACTTTGTCCCATTGTCTTCGATTGTTTTGCTGTGACTGTTCGTGCATGAATTTGGAAAGGAGAAAGAGCGCTGGTGTCAGGTAGATTGAGGTTTAAATCATAGGACGGCCATTTACCCTCTATGTGACCTCACTTAATGTCAGGTGGCAGGTCACTTAAAGTCTCTGATCCATAATTTCCTTTTTGTCCGAGAGGGTTATGATTATCTTCGTCACAGGACTCACGTGAGGACTAAATAAGGAGGGACACCCAAGACCTGGCACAGAGAAGCGCAGCGTCGAGCTCGCGCCTGCTCTCTCCCCTCCCTCCCTCCCTCGTCCGGGTTATTTCTGGAGATCAAGGATTATGACCTAATTCTTCTGTGGCCTCCACAGTGTTGAGTGCACAGTTGGCACTAGTTGAGTTCTTTTTACTGGAGAGAACATACTCATTTGCAGAAGAAGGAAAGACATCTACGGGTCATTCTGTCTCTCAACGACATTTTTCTGTCCTTTCTCAGAATATAATTTTGGCTAATTTTGTCCTCTGCAGAACAGCATCATAAAGGCCATTTCAGTCAATTTATGATGGTCGAGTATTTCCTTTGTTTCTTGATTCAGGGAGGAGACAAACAGGGCCACGTCTTGTATTTGCAGCAGCTCCTAGATGTTGTTTTTCTGCCTGGATTTTACCGTGTAGAGCATCCAAGCATTTTTCCCAGTGAACCATCTTTCTCATCCGGGCTTCAGGCTTGCCGCTGAAGTGCTCATCTTCTTAAGAGGCGGGGCCTCTGGGCTTTGACACAGCTGCTGGCCGTGTTGCAGCTGCTCTTGCGAGAAGTTCCAGTTCCTTCCATGTCCCCGCAGGCATCATGCTGTTCCCTGGTCCTTACCTTTGTTCTGCCTCCTGAAGGGCGGCTCACCCCTGAGTGCCCACCTGCTGCTCTTTCAGGACATCCTCGATGCAACCTTCCAGAACTGGGCCCCTCCCTCCGGTCACACGAACTTGCCCACTCCCCTCTTTGACCCCGTTATTTTTAACCTGCACAGAGTTTTCCTGTAACACCTCTAATACCTGGTTATCTTACTGGTCTCTGTTTCCCCTTACTGTACTTGGAGTGTGACTAGTTGAAAATGATCCCGCATCTCTGTGTCTTATTTCTAAATCCCAGGACATGGTCCATTTGACTATGACACAGTGATCTACTGGGGCTCTACAGTAAGCCTGTAGCTGTTTCATTCTGGCGACTCTATCACTCACTCAGAAATGCAATGCCACCCACACTGCAGCCACTGGGACAGGTGGAAAGTACACTTCGCTGGATTTAAGCCCGAGGTTTCCTTTGACTAGGTGGACGACCTTAGCCGCAGGTGTAGGACTGCTACAAGCCAAGCACCGTGCCAGGCACTTGCCCACATTATCCCATCTCCCCATCTTCCGCGCAGGGTGTCTCATTAGGATCCAAGGGAAAGATGTGCATCGTAGTACGTTCCATGTGATAGATGGAGTAGGTTCTCACTTAAATATTTGCGTATAAAGCTGCATATTTATAGAGCATCTAGTATGATCCAAGACCTCCGATACATTTATCTAAGTTCAAAGATATTTGTTATAATTAAAACAGGCAAATCAAAACAGGTACATTCCATGCTTGTTTAAAGAAGGCTATGTCAAGATAAAATTAAAACAAGCCCTTGGCAGCACATCAGTCCTAAAGACCAGATGAGGAAAGCGTCAGAACGCCTCGGCATCTTGCCCGGCTGGACCCGGCACTGTTGCCCGGCGACCCTGCGTAATCTCTCCGCTTTCCGCTCTCCAGGCATGCGCCAGGGCAACGACCACGGCACTCAGTACCGCTCAGCCATCTACGCGACCTCGGCCCAGCAGATGGAGGTGGCCCTGCGGTCCCGGGACGACTACCAGAAGGTAGGGCCGCCGTGACTCGGGCCAGGTCCCGACTTCAGAGCGGAGCCTGGTTCCTTTTACCTCGAGTCGTGTCTGTTTGCACAACTGTTAGAAATTTCTCTCAGCCTCTTGGAGTAGAGCCATTGTGCCTGATAAACCTGCTAAGTGCGATTTTAAGAGCAGGCCCCTATGCGTTTCTCTTTAAAATCAACTTATGCAGATGAATATGTCACTTGTGAAAATACAGAAAATACAGTCTCTGTCTCTGTCTCTCTCTGAATCTTTCTTTTCTTCTTCTCTCTGGATTAGTTTGCTCAGGCCACCAGAACAAAACACCCTGCGCTGGGCAGCTTCAACTAACGACGTTATTGTCTGTCAGGTCTGGAGGCTGGAAGTCCAAGATCACGTGTGGGCAGGGCTGGTTCCGTCTGGGGGCTGTGTGGGAAGGTGTGTTCCAGGCCTCTGTCCTTGGCTGTCCTCGGCGTCTGCTCCCTGTGTATGTTCACATCATCTTCCCCTTAGGTGTGTCTGTTTCTGTGTCCAAATTGCTCCAGTCATACTGGATTAGGGCTGACTCTAATCCAATCTGTGAAGCCCTGTCTCCAAGCGAGGCCACATTCCGAAGGGTTAGGACCCAACATATCTTTTTGTGGGGGACAGAATTCAACCATAATCCTCACCCTCTTGCCAGTAGCAATCAATTGAATTAGAATAAAAATACTTCTCAGAGATATATACATTATATCACAAAATAATTATTTTCACTATTAACTTGTACAGTATTTTTAAAACCTCCAACAGAGGTTTAGTTCTTTTAAAAAGACCTTGATGTTGCTTTCGTTTTTAGAGTTTCGTGATAATGCGCACATTTTAATCATCATTATATTTTCTGATGTGGACTCACTTCTGACCGTAGAGCTAGTAGCTACTAGAATGCCGACCGTTCTGGGTTGCACAAGTGCGGGCTCCGGTACCGCGTGCTGGGCAGGAGGCAGGACGCACGTGGCGCGAGTGTGGGCGGGTTGCTGCAGGCAGGGGCGCTGTGAAGGGAGTGAGAGCCCGCGCGGCCCTGGGCGCCTTGCTGGGGCTGGCGTCGGAGGCAGGTGAGGCCACGAGGATTCTAAGTGGCGTGTGGGTGCCGGCTGGATGCGGGCCGTGTGAATGCTGCTGGTGCCACTGTCCCCAAGGCGTCCTTCCCAGCCCCAATCCAGGGAAGGCAGCTGACAACAGTGGCTCAAGGATGATTTGCCATAATCAAGTGACTTTCTGGCACCTCTTAGAGCAGAGAGAGAAAAATACAAGTTTAATTTTCAGCAGGACATCCTGCTACAATCATATAGTGATATAATACATAGTTTATATAACATGGTTGTATATAGTATGTGTATATATAGCTATATAATAATAGTAATAATAGAACAACAGTAACAGTACCATCTGAATACTTATTACATGCTAATTACTGCTTTAAGTATTTCACATAAGTGATATCATTAATAAATCTTTGACTATATTTATATGCATACATAACTATAATAGATATGTTTAGATATAGGTGTGTATGTATCTCTGTCTTTATGTAAAATTGTATACATTCATGTATTTCTGAGGCCTTTGTTTTTAGTTTTAAAACAGGTATGAATTTCTAACGGTTCATTCAACTGGTATTGTTGATAATACACACATGCACACACAAGAAATCAATCATTTGCAGTGCCCGTGAGAAGTGATATTATTAGCTTTTATACCATAAAGAAGTTGATCTGTGCTTTTACATTAATCTTAAAAAGTAATGTGGGGTGGGTGCGGTGGCTCACACCTGTAATCACAGCACTTTGGAAGGCTGAGGTGGGACGCTGGAGGTCAGGAGTTTTAGACAAGCCTGGGCAACATAGTAAGACCCTGCCTCTACAAAAAAAATTTTAAACAATTAGCTGGGCATGGTGGCATGCACCTGTAGTCCCAGCTACTCGGGAGACTGAGGCAGGAGAATCCCTTCAGCCTGGGGGTTGGAGGCTGCAGTGAGCTATGATCATGCCACTGTATTCCAGCCTGCATGATAGAGCAAGACCCTGTCTCAAAAAAAAAAAAAAAAAAGGTAATATGGTTTCTAATAAAGCCCACCAAATAAGGGGAGATTTAGGTCTCACCAAGTCCTTTTACCACTGATGGAAGGACAGCAGGGAGCTGAGGAAGTGACCCCTGCAGTTGGTTCTACAGTGTTTTATATCTAGGGTGACCTTGAACAAACTCCCGAAACAACAGAGGTGTTTAATCTAGGGAGAGTCATTTTTAACATTACCGGATTAGGGTCTAGAACTCTGTAATCTCATCAAAAACATTCAGTTTTATTTCTAAAAGCAGAGAAATTCTGCAGATGGCTCATTCCATCCGTTTTATTTATACTGCTTTCCCCTTTAAAGGTTGGCATTTCTGGCCCTGTCCCTCCATTCTGGGAATTTGTCTTTTGTGAGCCCTGGTGGGACCCCGTGCACTAACTATAACATTGACTAGGTTACTAATTTAATAGTCTCCCCTAGTTCGCCCCCAGTGACCCCCTAGTAACCAGCTTCTTCAGCAACTTCTTTATATGTGAAGTTCAGAGTGACAGTATTGCTTACCACAGAGCAGCCATTTGAACATAAAATTAGCTGATTTTATCACAGGGACCAATTGTTGAGCTAATTAGATGTGCAGTACTGCTGAGGAGCCAGAAACCAAAAGTGATTTTCCATCGAAACTGTGGTTTTCTGCAAAGTTGGCTGGGCCGTGGATACCAGGCTCACCCACGACCACAGGAAGGGAGGACTGGCTGAAGAAGTTTGCGAACTTCTAATCAGTGCAGAAGGGGCAGCAAGGCCTTGAGGAGGATCCAGGCTCACAGAGTGAAACTTGAACTTCACACTGAGCTTGCTGACCTTGGAAGTGCTGGATTCTGCTCGCAGATACTTGACAGCTGCTTCGTGTCTTTGGTGAGCCGAGGACGTGGCATCAAATGTGGGGGTGGTAGTCTTGCCTTTCTTTTCTTAACCTCTTATTTAAAAAAAAAAAAAAAATTCCCCAAAGAGTTTCATGGTGGAATTATTTGCTTATAGCATTAATGGGAAGAGATAATCTAATGTATTATTAATTGTTTTTGTATTATCACACGCGGACAATTTACCTCCCAAGTGAACCTGCCATGACAAACATTTTCTAATATCACAAACCGAACATGGGCTCTGGTAGGGCTTGGGCATGGTTCACATGTGATTGGAATTGAACCTTTTGATCACTGACAAATTATGTTTCTTGAAATTTGAAAGGCAGTAAATCTAAAGATAGTTCTTTTGGCCACATGACCAACCTCCTCCCAGCTCCTCAAGCTTCACGAACAGTAGGCACAACATCTCCTCTGGATGTTTCTTTCATTAAAAACAGAGAAGAAAAGCAGTGATTTTTTTTTTGCATACATTTTATAATATATTAAGTTCTAATAAGAATAAAACCTTTCTAAAACCAATGCTAAATTACCCACTATGTTTCAAATATAAAATAGTGTTTTGAAAACCTGTCTCTATCAGTTTCTCAGTTTGTATTCATCCATCCATATCTTCAATATGTAGCTATAATCTTTAAATGTTTGCCATAATATTATCTTAAATTTCAACAGTCTGGCATATCATCTGTCATCTATGTGTTTGTCTGTACTCAATACAGTGTCATTTTAAAGAAAAGTGCCCAAAGTGAAAGATAAAAAACAGTATGTAACGATTAGGTTATAGCTCGAAATTTTTAGAGGAAAGGTTCATCTTTGCTTATTGAATTTTCTTCCCACTTAGATTGCAGCCAGATATTCAGTGACTCCCCATGTCATGCTCTCCAGTTAAGTCCTGGAAAGTTGTGGTTTGACCACTGTGTGTGTGTCTGTGTGTGTGTGTGTGTGTGAGAGAGAGAGAGAGAGAGAGAGCACAGTTGTCATTACCCAATATCCTACTTAGCTGTGCTATCGATTAAGTTTTTGCTTCTTTTCTCTATCATCAAAGTTTAAATGCCACCTTTATGTCCATGACACTCAAATTTACAGTCCAGGTCTACCCTCTGGGCTCCAGATCTCCATATCCGAGTACCTACTTGTTATTTCTACTTACGTGTCAACACGACATTTCCTAACCAGAAGGCTTGATTCGCAGCCCCATCAACAAGCCCCGCCCGCTGACGGCTTTTCCAGTCATCATCGTTGGACTTGCTTAAGCAAGACCCTCAGAAGTTATCCCTGAGTCATCATCCGTTCCCCTGGCCCTTCACCTCTGGTTAATCAGATTAACAGATTCTCCCCCAGAACATAGCTCCCATGCACCTGCTTCTCTCATTTTCACGGTCACTGTCGTAGTTTAAGCCACCGTTATCTGCTCCTGGACCGCTGGACTTCTGCCTCACCATGACTACGACGACACACACAGCGCAGCTGGGAGAGCTTCATAAATACAGTTCTGATCATTCCCCTTCCCATGTCAAAGTCTTCCATGATTCCCTCCTCTGTTTGGAATGAAATTGGAACTCCTTAGCACGGTCCACCAGGTCCCACACAGTCATTTCACCGTCTTCCCACGAGACACCTGTAACTTCTAATCATAATGTCTCATTCTTGCCCAAAGCTCATAACCTTTGAATGAAGCTCAAGAACTTCTAGAGAGGCGGGGACTCAGGATGAGAACCACAGGCGTTCCATATTTTACTGCTGTGAACATCATAAAGAATGGTCTTCTGTTTCTTCGTATTTCACAGCTGATTCCTATGTGGACCCACTCTTGCCACAGAGACTGAGTTCAGAGGCTGTGGGCTGCTGCCCGGTTTAGGGTCCTGGCATACCTCGTGTACTAGGAGGCGTGAACTCCCCCATTACCACAGTGCTCTCGACCCCAGAGCCTCTCTTGCAAACTCCCTTGACACAGAAATTGCTAAATATTGCAATCATTCAACAGTATTTAGTAAGATTAAGTTAGTGGTTGGTACGTAAAACTGTCTTCCCTTCCCTAATT